TACTGATTTCTTTTTAGGTTCTGCCTCTGAGTAGAGCCTTGTTTGGATGAGAAACGCTGATGAGTTGACAGAGCTGAATATTCTGGAGCCATGGAATGCTGGCCATCCCCTTCAGGCTTCATGCGGTCTAGAGGAGCACAAATCTAAAAGTCATCAGGAAGTCTGTCCTTCTCCCTTCGCTGAACGCATGCAAGGGGATGAGAGAGGCTTATCTCACTGCTAAGAAAACAGTGTCTTAGTCACTGCCTATTCTGTGGTCTTTGACAAGGAAAAGGTGGCTTTATAATAAATGATGAATATTGCCGACATTTATCAAATACTTTCCACGTGCCAGATACCTACATTCATTTTTTTTTTTTTTTTTTTTTTTTTGAGACAGAGTCTTGCTCTGTTGTCAGGCTGGAGAGCAGTGGTGTGATCTCGGCTCACTGCAACCTCCGCCTTCGGGTTCAAGTGATTCTCCTGCCTCAGCCTCCCAAGTAGCTGGGACTACAGGTGCGGCACTACCATGTCTGGCTAATTTTTGTATTTTTGGTAGAGATGGGTTTCACTATGTTGGCTAGGATGGTCTTAATCTGACCTCAGGTGATCCGCCCACCTCGGCCTCCCAGAGTGCTGGGATTACAGGTGTGAGCCACTGTGCCCAGCCTCTAAATTCACTATTTTATTTAATCCTCATAACCAATTTATGGTATCCTATTACTACACTCATCTTCACAGTTAAAATAAGTCCAGAGAGACTGATCTGTCCATGGTCACAAAGCTAGGAAGTGGCAGAACCATGATTCATGTGTTTTTCTATCTGGCAGAATCTAGCAACTGTGTGCTTAAATGCTGCTCTACGATGCCTCACAAATAGATCTGAAAGTCTATGCTCATGTTGCCTAGCTGTGTGATCTTAGGGAAATCATTTAACTTCTCCAAGTTAATGGTGGACTGATTAGCTTTATTTCTTCCCCTCCCCATTCTCCCAGCATCCTGGGTACTCCTCTAACTTTCCTTTTATCAAAACAAAGGATTGTTCTTTAGAAATTTGCACTTTTGCATGAGGTCAAGAGATTGAGACTATCCTGGTGAACATGGTGAAATCTCATCTCTACTGAAAATACAAAAATTAGCTGGGCATGGTGGCGTGCACCTGTAGTCCCAGCTACTTGGGAGGCTGAGGCAGCAGAATTACTTGAATCTAGGAGGCGACAGTTGCAGTGAGCCAAGGTTGCACCACTGAACTCCAGCCTAGGGTAACGAGAGCGAAACTCCGTCTCAAAAAAAAAAAAAAGAAATTTGCACTTTTGTATAAATTTAATCCCTGATACCTTTGACTTTTCCTAGCAGTATTTATACATAAAGGTGCATCCCTGTTAGTAGCTGGAAAAGCCTTGTTCTTTCTTTATTATGCCAGGTTTTTATCAGCTGGTAGGTAAGAAGGGAAAGGAATATTTTAGAGGTAGGGAGATCTTCATGAGCTTTCATAAACTTACTCTTCCAAGGCAGTTGCCTACTATCTCTGCACACAAGAAGAGCCTCAAAATACATGCCACAAAATTCATATTCCAGTAGCTCTGGAGCCTAAGTGCATCTGTGTTTGAAGAATTGGTAATATACTTGTGTAGCATTTTGAAAAACATTTTAGTCATATTTGTAACTTTATTTACTTTTAAATGAACTACATGTTTTACAATGTTTTACCACTCTATGTTTCACAATGTGGGAAATACACAATACAAGTAGCATATTAAACATATCCAGATCATTCCCATAGGACATGAACGGTTAACATCAGCAACAATCAATTCCATTTGCAAAGCACCACCAGAGTACTTCAAGCACTTCGCACAAAAGATTAAAAGAAAGAAAACATTATAACTGGATTGGAAGATAGAGAGGGTTGGCTCATGCTTAAAATACTGCCTGGTTCAGATAGCGCTGGTTACCACTCCCTTTAAAATTTCAGGTAAACAATTTGCTTCCACCTGGGAAGATCATTTCTAGTGGGAAAATGAAGGCAGCTTCTGAAGACCCCAGGAAGAAGGTACATTCTCTCTGACACCACCAGAACCAGGGGTAGAATTGGGCACATGCGTGTCAGTGCACGCATGTGTGCATGTGTGTGTGTGTGTGTGTGTGTGTGTGTGCGCGTGTGTGTGTGTGTTGGGCATGTGAGGTAAATCCAAGGAGAAGAATGGTTTTTTGGTGCAAGCAAATATTTTACTAAGTCAGCTAAATTGTTTCTCACAGGACAAAGAAGCTGCTTGCTTTCTGATTTAGGTTTTGGCTTCGTAGAAAAATATAAATAATACCAAAGAAATCCCATATTCCTACAGCACAGTTTTTCCTGTGCAGAAACCCCAAAGACATTTGTGTTTGAATTTCTCCTCTCTTTATTCCTCAATCAAAGAGTCCAGCACTGTGCTGACAGAAGCAGATTGAGAATCACAGCTAAAGTGTATTCAACAGCTGACACCACATAAACCAAGCCCTCAGGGAGGCATAGTGATGTGGGGAGAAGTGGTGGGAGGGTGGGGAGGAGAGCTGACACTGCCACAAATAACTGTGGGCTCCCAGGCAAGTCTCTGTCTCTGTTCTCCTGGGGCCTCAGTTTCCTCTACTATAAATGAAGCAGTGTGCCCAGCGATAGCTAAGATGCCTTCTAGCACTAGAATTACATAAAGCTAAGCAAAATGAGGAGAATAATACCATTTTCAGTATGTTATTCTCAGATTTGAGACATGCTCATCCTCTTATATTTATATAATCAGGTAAACCTTGCTAGTAATTTATTCTGAGAAAGCAAGCAGTTGACTTTCTAAAATAAACACAACTGACCATGGTTCTATAGAAGTGCTATAAAGCAAACATCTTTATGAAAATCCTGTAGGCAAAATTAGTATTTTAAAGACGTATAAAGGTACAAACTTGCTGAATCCCTTTTGGTAAGAATTTCACTTAGGCCTTGCTTCTTGATTTCTTTTTTTGGTCTGTCTTCTCATTTTTCATTAGAATAAGGCCAGGGGGCTCTCGAAAGTTCTTTCTTTCCGATTTGCTAATGTGACTATATGCATGCCCCATATTTCTTCTAAGTCTGAGTTTCTTAGAGTCATTTAGATGCTAAAGTCAGCCTTCTAGGTGCAAAATAAGTAGTAATAACTGAACATTTGGAAACCAAATGCCATATTTGTATATTATAGAGATCTCATTTGGGAATTTCCTATGAAGTGTCAAGTATTTTTGAGTCTCATTAAAAAAGAGGTTCCTCTCTTCAATACAATCTCCAACTATAACTTTGTTACTTTAAGTCTTTGCCTCTTCTGTATGTTATACTTTTATTTACCATTTTATATAATAAAGATTTGAATCTCACTACTACTCTTTCAAATAAGTGTATTAGTTTTATATAATATCATATTACTTCATTTAATTTTCTTAATCTTCCACAATTAATAGCTATTAGCAATATATTTCAGCAAATTTCTTCTAGTACCTTAACAACAATTTATGCATTCTATTTCTTAATAAGATACCCACAACTTGGTAATTTTCCCTTCCAGTTTTATTATATATTACCATTTCAATTGCATTGACTGATTTATTTCTGTCCTATTAACCTAGCATTTTCCAGTTTGCTACCCAGGACTAAAATATCTCAAGATTTAAAAATATTTTGTAGTACGCAGACCACCAATACAACACAAGAGAGAAGAACATCCACAAATAGAGCTGCTAGCTTTCCATCATATTTGTGTTGTCACTCCAAGACATGTTCTAGGGTGGTTCTCAACAGTCACAGATGACAATTAAGGCAATCAAAATAATCTTTTGAAATGGAGTTGGCCAAATTTGAGGGTTAATAACCTGTTTTATGGTTTGTTTTCTATATCTCAGGGCTTCCCTGGAAGAAGGGAGTCTAGACTTATCAGATCAGTCAGGAAATTAAGGTCTATGATAAGCTGTGCCTTCCAGAATCCCACTCCCTTCTCAGCCCTGCTGTGAATATTAAATACACACAAAACTTAACTTTACAGCCAAAGTGGAACCAATGGCAAACGTTCAACTCAAGTATGTAAATTAGTATCTACAACACATACCTCATGCCTAAGATTTCAGGTAAGAAGGATATGACCTCAGATTGGAGTCAGACTGGATTCTGGGCCAGAGTGGGAAGTGGAGGCTATATTAAGAATAGGCATGTTTTCTCCATATGGTACATCGATTCATGTTGACCATTAATTAGGCATCACTTTCTTCCTTTTGTGTGTTAGTGCTTATATTATTTTTAAAGGTACAGTAAGCACTGATGAAGTTTGGAAGTAATATAGGAGGCTTTTCTCGGAAGAGGAGCATGTTATAGTTGAGTGCTGATGGATCTTACTCAAGAGGTAGCTACTAGGATGAAAGGCTGGAAGGCATTTCACATTCAATCAATCATTTTTCTTTTTTTGGTAGATTAATGAGTTTTGTCAGACAAGGAACAAGTAACTTTTATGGTCTGAGAACAACTGGTAATGAGATGACACAGAAGGAAGTCTTTCTGCCAAAACTCATTAGAGAAGAGCACATAACTATTTAGAAGAACACCATGGATTTTAAATCAATGCACTAAAGCTAATGCAATTAATATCAGGTAGGTTAGGAGATGATACAGGCATATTTTCTTTTCACACTGATGGTAAGCAAATGTCCAGGGCTTTGGCCCACATATTTAATTTAAGATTTATTAGAAATGAAAATGTTTCTTCTCATTGTTATTGCAACCTATGCTAGGCACTTTATCCTGGATCATAACATTGCCAAAGAATAACTTGATAAAAGCAGGCACCTTTAACTAATTTAATCTAATAACATTTCAAACACTTATTCCAAATGGTTAAACATAAGGTCATTCAGCAGTGTATTGATGAGCAGGTGGTAATTAGAACACATGTTCTGTTGCTTCACGGTGTTGCCTTTGTTTTCTCAAGTTGCAATGCTCACAAAGTACAGATAAATACTCCATTGCCTACCTGACATAGAGGGAGCGTTTCTGATTGGTTCGCAGGGACCCGGACCCGGAACTCATGCTGTGGTTCATCATCTGCTCTCGTAGATCATGGATTTTGGCCTCAAATCGAGCGTAATCTGGTAATGAAAACAAAGGTAGCAAATTTGGCTTTGTTCCTTCAAGAGTTAGAAATGCTGCACAGCCCAGGTAGCCCCTCACCCACGTTGTTAGGTCCTTTGCCAAACAATGGGGACACGTACAACTCCAGGGTATGCTTCTTTACTATAATTTATTCACAGACATTAATAAGAGGAAAGTGAGAAATCAGTTCCTTCCCAAAAGGTACCTAGAAAACATACCGTCATCCAATTCTCAACTTGTAAAAAGTCCAAGCAGGGTGGAAGAGAGAGGATTGGGGATCATGGGGAGGGAGATGTGGTTGAAAACATGCAACAAAATATCCTTGTGGTGATGAAAATGTTTGCTATCTTGCCTGCAGTGGTGGATATGAATAACTGCACATAAGATAAAATTACACAGAACCAAATGTGCGTGCACGGGCGCGCGCGCGCGCACACACACACACACACACACACACACGACTGGGGAAAATCTGAATAATATTGACGAATTGCATCAATGTGAATATCCTGGTAGTGATAACGTGCAATAGTTTTGCAAAATGCTGCTACTGGTGGAAACTGAGTAAAATTATTTCTTATAGCTGCACGTAAATTTATAATTATCTCAAAAACAAAAAGCAAAATAAAATAATATTCCATGGGAATCCCAACTCGATGGGGTATTGAGGAGAGTCTCTATACACCCTCAGCCTGATAGACCAGAGAATCAAGAGTGATGAGTTGTGTAAGAAATGTTATTTAATTTAACTAAATTTTGTTAGGGGGTGTCAGTCTGCTTGACCACTTGGGGTCATACCTCAATTTTGTCCTATACCTTTGCTCACAAGCCAAATTTTAGACATTTTCAAACATTAAAAGCTATGGGTATTATAAAAGTCAAAGAAATATACATATTATATCATTGCTATTGTTTCACACAAAAAGTATTTTTGGCAAGTCAATCCAATAAAAATAAAGAAAGAACAGGTTCTCAGGCACTTAATAACACAATGTACATGTAAAAAGAAACGGCTTTTGACATTTCAATGTTTTTTATCACAACCCAGAAACTTCTGTCATTTCCTTGGCAAAACAATGTCTTGCATTAGGAAAATCCAGCAGGCTTAACTTACCTACAAATAAACTTAAAAATGTTAATTAAAATTATAAATGGTTCTTTTAATTACAAAGAAACTCACCATGAAGGATTTTAATAGAGTATATCAGCACATTTCAGAAAACAATTTGATTTTCAATTCAATTTATTCACAACTTGAATAAAACAAGGATGATTGAATATCATAAAAGATGATCTACTTACAGAGTGCTTCAAATTCTTTATAATAAAAAGTTCTGTAAAATATAATTTCATTTTAACTTACTGAATATGTATTGGTTATTGTAAGGTGAGCTTGATTTGACCTTAGTTTTCAGCAATAAATAGACAACAGGAAAATAAACTCTGAATGTTGAATATGTTAAAAGTTTAGTATACTACAGATAAAGCAGTAATAGAAGGCTGGAAATTTCTGGTGCATATCCAAAGTCTGGTATTATCCAGATTTGGAAGGCTTCCTGTTCACGCTTAGCTTTGAATAATGAAGTCCTAAATGATTAAATAAGCACAACACAGATTTAACAACATAGTTAAGGTAAAAATCTACTGACTATAATTTAAGAAAATTTATTTCATTTTCTAGAAGAGAAAACATTTATTTATAAACATCAATATGATATTGTATGCAGGCAAGGCATGGTGACACATGCATGTAGTCTCAGCTATTTGGGGGACTGAGGCAGGAGAATCACTTGCGCCCAGGATTTCAAGGTTTCAGTTGAGTTATGATCCCACTACTGCACTCCAGCTTGGGTGACAAAGAGCGACCCTGTCTTTATTTAAAATAAAATTAAAAAAAGATATGATACTGTATGGAGATTTAAATCATTTTGAGCAAGTCATGCTTTCTTGCCACCTTAGAAGAGTCAATTAACATTTATTGCTTGCCACATGGCAGACAATATGCTCAATGCATCATGGCTATTATCTCATTTCTTTTTTAAATTGCAAAACAAAGTCTATGGATGTTGAAAAATATTGAAATATATAGAAAAACGCAGGATAAAAATTGAAAGGCTCTCTTGTCTCTTCTGGCTTTTCCTACCTTGTCTCTCATTGTTCTCTTTCCCTACAGCTTACTCTAGTGGTACGTTTGGTTGTGTGCTGGATATGTATGTGTGTGTTTGTGGGTAGCTGTATGTGTTTGTGTGTGTGTGTATATATACACACATACCCATACAAATGAGACCATAACTATTTATTGTACTAAGACTTTTTTCTCCATTTTTAATAGTGTAATTTGGATATTTTCCTGCCGTCTACCAAATATACAAACATCATTTTTCTTAATACTCTTAATAATCTATTCCATAGTTTAGACTGTATTTAACAATTGCCTTATCATTAGATATTTAGGCTGGTCCAGCTTTTTGCTATTATAAACAGGGATTTTGGTGTTCACGTGCATGTTTACAGCAGGTTAGTAGAGCACCAGAAATGCCTCCATTAGCATTTCCAGAGAAGAAAATTGTCTTGTCAGGAATACAGTTTAGGATCTCTTAACTTTTTTGATCCATGCTTTACATTGTCACTTGATAAATACCACATTTCACCCCTGAGTACCACTAAATCTCCCATCTAGAGAGATGGGACACTCTCCTTTATAACTTTGATGACTTTACTACCCATGACAAAATCATGAAATTTCACCTTCCAGTTGTCCCTTCTTAAACATCTAACTCCAATGCAAGTCCCATCCCCTCATTTAATCACTTTGCTGCTTTACTGTGTTCTTCACACCTACTTGCAGTTATTGTATAGTTGTTCATCCTCCATTAGACTGCTCTCTGAGGGCAGAAAATATTTTTCATTCTCCTTGGAATTTCCTTTTCCTAACACAGTGTCTGAGATGCTCAGTAAACTTTTTAAAAAAAAAATGAATAAAAAATAATACAACCATCTGATCTTTGACAAACCTGACAAAAACAAGCAATGGGGAAAGGGTTCCCTATTTAATAAATGGTGTTGGGAAAACTGGCTAGCCATATGCAGAAAGCTGAAACTGGATCTCTTCCTTACATCTTATACAAAAATTAACTCTATATGGATTAAGGATTTAAACATGAGGCCTAGCACCATAGAAAGTCTAGAAGAAAACATAGGCCAATACCATATAGGACATTAGCATGGGCAAGAACTTCATGACTAACACACCAAAAGCAATGGCAACAAAAACCAAAATAGACAAATGGGATTTAATTAAACTTAAGACCTTCTGCACAACAAAAGAAACAATCATTAGAGTGAACTGGCAACCAACAGAACGGGAAAAAATTTTTGCAATCTACCCATCTGACAAAGGGCTAATATCCAGAATCTACAAGAACTAAAGCAGATTTACAAGAAAACAAACCAAACAAACCCATTCAAAAGTGGATGAAAGACATGAACAGACATTTTTTGAAAGAAGACATTTATGAGGCAAGCAAACATATGAAAAAATGCTCATCATCACTGGTCATTAGAGAAATGCAAATCAAAACCACATTGAGATACCACCTCACAGCAGTTAGAATGGTGATCATTAAAAAATCAGGAGACAAAAGATGCTGGAGAGGATGTGGAAAAATAGGAACACTTTTACACTGTTGGTGGGAGTGTAAATTAATTCAATCATTGTGGAGGACAGTATGGCAATTCCTCAAGGATCTAGAAATAGAAATAACATTTGACCCAGCAATCCCATTACTGGGTATACACCCATAGGATTAGAAATAATTCTATTATAAAGACACATGCACATGTATGTTTATTGCAGCACTGTTCACAATAGCAAAGACTTGGAACCAACCCAAACATCCATCAATGATAGACTGGATAAAGAAAATGTGGCACATAGACACCATGGAATACTATGCAGCCATAAAAAAGGATGAGTTCATGTCCTTTGCAGGGACATGGATGAAACTGGAAATGATCATTCTCAGCAAACTGACACCAGAACAGAAAACCAAACACCACATGTTCTCACTTATAAGTGGGTGTTGAACAATGAGAACACAGGGACACAGGGAGGGGAACATCACACACTGAGGCCTGGGGGGTGGGGGGCTAGGGAGGAATAGCACGGGGTGGGGGTATTAGGGAAGGATAGCATTAGGAGAAATACCTAATGTAGATGACGGGGCGGTGGATGCAGCAAACCACCACCAAGGCACATGTATACCTATGTAACAAACTTGCACGGTCAGCACGTGTACCCCAGAACTTAAAGTAGCTTAGTGGCTACTAATCCGGGAGTCTGGGAAACAAAACCAAACCTGAGGTCACAGTTTTAAGCGGAAATCTTCATATTACTGAAATACTGAAATACAAAATCTACTCAAAGCCAAAAAAAAAAGAAAAAGAATAAAAAATAAATGAGGGAGTGAGTAGAATACCTAGATGAATTCAGTTGCAAAATGGCTCCAGGTACTGAAATTGTCCATTTTCATTTTCATGTTTTGCAGTAAGAAAGATGAACATGCGTTTCCCTAGTACTTTTTTCAAGACTAAATATTCTAATTGCAAGGCTTTATTTCTGTTAAATCACTACCATTTCCAAATTCTTGTTCTTTTTATTGTTCTCTAGGAAATCTTTCCATCTCAATCATGTCATACATTGGTAAAAATTCTCTGACACTTCATCTGTATACAATCAGCACTTTGTTAGGCTCTTGTAGCTGTCACATTTTAAGTAAGACAACAGGATACTTCCTGTAATAAAAAGTTATATTTGCCTTACTGTGTGGCTCATTAGGTACCCAAAATGTTTCCTGCCATGCCTTTCAAATGTTTCACCTGCCTGACATCCTATGGTGTTTAAATTCCCCAATACGAACGATTTGCACTGCATTTGCCTTTATGGGAATCTACCCTGTTTTCACCTTTCCTACTTTGACAGTCATCTTAATCTAAA